ACCAACCATTCTGGAACATTCTTGTCTACCACGACACCAAAAATTCTTAAAATTTGAAACTTGCTTCATATAAAATACACCCCCCTTTACCAGTCATTAAATCTGCCAATTTCACCACCTAAATGACTCTCAACAGCTACAGCCTTCTTATTTCCCATAGTTATCTCCCGGTTTAGGCTGACATCTTTCCACTGGCCCACTGCAACAGCTTCCTAAGGGTTCCCTCCACATTTTGCTCTTCTGCACTCAATTTTTCCTCTAAAGACATGTGAGTGAGACCTTATGAAGACCACATCTGGTTATGCCACTTCCCATCGCGGATAGCTTTCTTTCGCCAGAAAGGCAAGTCTCAACTCCTTAGGGTGGCTTTGTGGGTCTTTCCCAACTGAATTCCAACCTCCCCTACAGCCCACTGCCAGCCTGCCTTCCCCCTGACTCACCCAGTGCTCAAGTCCCATGTCTTCCTGCTGGTCCCTTTTCCCGAAACACTCGTCCCCACCCTGCCCTCCTAGGAACATCAGTCATCCTTCAAGGTCAAGCTCAAAAGTCCCCATTTGGTAACACAGGCCCCTTCTCTACTGATATAATCACAGAATTAGGTAGGAAATAGGATGCCTATATAGGAGGTAATTTCTTTAAAGAACTAATGACCAAAAGTTAAGCTATCGTAATAGTTAGGAGAAATAGCCAATTTCTGTCCCCTTCTTAAAGTTCTCACATAATTTTCAACACGTAGGAATACATGCTGGGTAATTTTGCCTACAGCTACTTTACAGAAAATAGGAAACCAAGTGCTTCCTGAGAAACTTGTGATAATTATACATTTAACTTTTTTTTTCTATTTCAGAAATACCTTGGCAAAAGCACAGAGTGAAATGTTCCTCTAATTGCATGCATTTGTAATCATGGCATTTACCAGTTCAAGCAAATATTATAAATGCCTACTCAGAAAGCTCTGAGCCCCTTCAATTTGTAACAAGACACGCTAGCAACAAAAGCTTTATTCTATCAAATTCATGGCTTTCTCATTTTGACACATATGTAGAAAAAAGAATGTGGCATTCTAGACCCGGAGAAGAAATGCAGTTTTGTACGAAGAATGACTCAAATGGCACCTCGGATCCTAACTCAGGTTTCCCCACCGTCTCTCTCTCTCTTTTTTTATTTTAATCATTGTTCAAGTACAGTTTTCTGCCCTTTACTCCAGTTCCAGCCCATCCACCCATCCCTCCCCACTTCCCTCCCATTTCCACTCCCCCTAGTTTTTGTCCATGTGTCCTTTATATTTGTTCCTGTAAACCCTTCCCATTCTCCCCTGAAATTCCCTCCCCTCTCCCCTCTGGTCACTGTCAGCCTGTCCTCTATTCAGTATCTTTGACTATATTTTGCTTGTTTTTTTGTTTTGTTGTTTAGGTTCCTGTTAAAGGTGGGATCATATGGTATTTGTCTTTCACTGCCTGGCTTATTTCACTTAGCATAATGCTTTCCAACTCCATCCATGCTGTTGCAAAGGGTAGGAGCTCCTTCTTTCTTCCTGCTGCATAGAATTCCATTGTGTAAATGTAAAACCAGTGGACTGAGTGCTGGCCCACGAACCGAAAGGTCGCCAGTTTGACTCTCAGTGGAGGCACATGCCTGGGTTGTGGACCAGGTCCCCAGCTGGGGACATGCAAAAGCCAACTGATTGATGTTTCTCTCCCTCCCTTCCCCTCTCTCCAAAAATAAATAAATAAAATCTAAAAAAAAAACATTAAAAAAGGAAATCTGTAAGTCACTCCAGGGTTTGATCATTTTTGCTATTGTTATAACAAGAGGAGGAAACTGCAGACCTAGGTTTACGTTAAGTAAACTGTAGTTTCCTCTGCACATGCTGTATGTTATAACTGAGTTTTCGTGAGTAAGAGCAGATGACGGCTATTGAAAAGAAAGCAAGGGCAGGAAAAATAAAAATGCCGCCCCCATCTCACGGACACTATAAACTTCACATGCAAGCACAGGTATTGACGTACTGAACAATGAAGACATAAAAGAGTAATATAACCTACCAGATGGTTTTTATTCCTAATAAATTATTGTAGAAAGTGTAAGCATTTAGTATCAAATAACCCATTTAGTGGAGCACCCAATAAACACCAGCCTTGAATATGAAAGCAACCTAACTGCACATCAATCAATGATTGGATAAAGAAGATTTGGTGTCTATATACAATGGAACATTACAATGTCATAAAAATTAATCAAATCTTACTATTTGCAACAGCATGGATGGACCTAAAGGTGTTGTGCTAAATGAAATGAAGCAGACAAAGAAATACAAATACCATATAATTTCACTTACATGTGGAATGTAAAGAACAATATAAACACACAAAACAGAAACAGACTCATACATACAGAGAACAGACTGATGGTTGCCAGATGGGAAGGAGCTGGGGGACTGGGTGAAAAAGGCGAAGGGATTAAGAAGTACAAATTGGAAGTTACAAAACAGTCACAGGGATGTAAAGGACAGCTTAGGGAATAGATTCTATAATATTGTAATAACTATGTATGTTGTCAGAAGGGTACTAGACTTATTGAGGGATCACTTCATAGATTATATACATGTCTAAGCACTATGCTATATGCGTGAAATTAACAAAATAGTATCAGATGTCAACTGTAGTTGAAAAATAAAAATAAAGTATTTAAAAGTAAAGACAGACATGAACATGGACCACACTGTGGGGGTGGGTGGTAGGAGAGAGGACAGGGAGCATAAATGGTGATGGGAAAGAGAGAATATAAAAGGCAAAGAAAAAAAATTAAAGTTTTTTTAAGTTAAGAAAAAAATAGCATTGAGAATTGATTAGTTCAACTGGTGTCATCCTGCAGCAAGGAGATCACAGAATGCCTACATTTTTATTTATCACCAAGGAAGAAAGATCTTTATCCTACCTTCTTTTCAGCTTCTGCAGTAAAATTCTACATAGAAAAGGCCACAATTCCACGTTTACTTATACACCACCTTTCCTCTCAGAAGCACAAACACGTCAGAGCTACAAATGCATCCATACTATGCCATTATGCAAGAAGTACAAAACGTGAGTATTCCATTTTACAGTCTTTACGAAGGTTTGAAGACAGCAGAGTAGACAATATAAGCAAAGCTGCCAACCTCCCACCACTAAATTTGTCTCACGTTAAGTCTACAGTTATCGGCATCAAGTTCAGACTTATTATATATTTGGAGGGTACTATATTCTCATGAACTGTAAGCATTCTGAACTGAACTAAATATAAGTCAAAGGCAACACAGGCACCTTTAAAATAAGCATAAAGTTGTTTGTGACCTCAGGCTGGTGATGTCTAACCTTGGTGAAGTGGTGCTCCACTGTTTGGTTGAGTTTAAAAGACCCTGCCCTGTGCTCAGGTTGTTGCTGGCCCACTGAACGGAATGTGCAATGCATTCATTGTGGAGTTCGTTGTTCACTTTAAGGACCACTTGGAAACAAAGATGCCCACAACTAAACTATCACATGTTTTCATGCCATCAATCATTACGACTCATCCTGATTGCAGTGCTGCATCGTGAAATCAATGAAATAGAGCATGTGAAAATGGATGCCCTTCTCATTAAAATGAATTAAAAGAAATATCGTTTGGAGAAACTTAAGCCATGGGTTGCAATATGCAAATATGCTCAGGACATGGCAGGGGTTAGGAGTCGGTTTTGGATACCGCCAACCTTCAGATTGCTTTAAACAACTTGAGTCCCTAAACTTTTCTCTTTTTTTGACTTAATCTTTATTGTAATTTTTCCCATTACCATTTAGTCTCCGTATACTCCCCCACTCCCAGCAATCACCACACTGCTGTTCATATCCATGAGTCCTGGTTCCTTTTTGCTCAATCCCTCAAGTCCCTAAAATGTTTCAATAGTACCTAACCAAGTGAGAGTTCCTGAGGCCTCTGTTTGTAAAGTCAGTAGTAGTCCCCAGAAATAGTTCTATTAGCAGGCTTTGAAATTGCTGAGTTATTCTGTGCCTTGAGACACCAATTGTTATGACTGGATGTTATACCCGGAGAGATGTTATGTTACTAAACTAAACAGCCTGCTTTCTGAACATCCTCCTTTCCTGCTTAGGAAAACCCTTTGGTATTGATGGCCTTGGAGCAGAAAGAGCATGAAGCACCTTTTTCCCTTTTGGAAAGGGTTGAAAATAAAACTGCAAGGAAAAATTAAAGTCAGAGAAAGACATGTTTATAGAAACTGAGGAATTTTCCCCTCCGTGAGCAGCCCTGGCTAGTCTGGCCCCGGGAGGGAGCGAAGTCGAACAAACAACAACAAAAGCCAACAGGACAACAAAGTGCAGCAGAAGAAAGTGGTTCTATTGTCTTCTCAGCATGAGGGCAGCGTCTCAGCTCCACGGCGGCTCTGAACAAATGCTTTCAGGGGGACCGAGCAGAGCGTCCCTTTCCTCCAGCTTAACTACATCCAAACAATGTAACTCTTGTTGGAACACAAACATTCACAAGACAACTCCCTTCTGACTCTCCCGCTTGGTGAGAGTATCTATACTCTGTTCTTCTCTTCTGGCCTCTTTCTAGTGACTGAGGATACATTTGTTTGGTAACTAGAACCACCCTTGTCCTAACTGCAAAAAAGTACACGTTCTTTCAAAACTCATAGTCCACAAACTTTCCGATGGGATGACATTCCCAAAGTCAAACTTGAAAGCCATCAAATCAGGATCACACACAGACATGCATTCATAGTCGCTAACATGTGTTCTTATATTTCTCCATGACTTACATTTGAGAAGAGTTCTCTTATAGATCCAGTGTCATAAACCACTGGCTTCGAGCTGTATTTTTACTAAGTAGGATGGCTTTAGGGGGTAAGAAAAAAACACTTCAAAAATTTAAAATAACAAAAAATTGTTTCCTTCGAACATACAACCAGGCAAAAACATCTCCCACCCCTTCAGACCTGCACCCCCAAGAGAAAAAGGGCTTACGTGTTCAGACTTCTCCTGGTCTTTTTTGTCCGTCTGCAAAAACTGACAGTTGTCTCTCGCCAGCTTCTGGACCAGCTCGATTCGCCCCATGTCATCTCGCTCCTGAAGCTTGCACATCACCCCTGCCTTCAGGGTTGGGGAAAGAGCAAAGATGTACTTAAATCCACAGTCCCAGGACATGACACCGCTGCACAGTTCACCTTAGAGTAAGCTCATCTTCTCTGTCGCCAGGACTAAATCATGGTCCCGGGAAAACAACTGGTCTTCTCCAAACTGAAATTGTATCATTTAAATCAAGGACTGCCACCTCAAAAGTCTTCAAGTTGAGATCATTGATCGGTCTACTTTGAGAGAGCGAAGGGCCGGGCAAACTAAATCATTTGCTACTAATGTGTGCTCCTGATACGCCACTATTTGTTCCTGACAGCCTGTTTCCTGTTACATAAGCAAAGCCTAGCAAGAAGGTTAAAAACTCATGGGAAAGTTAGCCAGGAACCACTCTGGCAAAAAGGGTGAAGTGATACAGAGTTCTAAAAATAACAGGACACAACCTCCTGATTCTTTAGCTCCACCAGATCATTCCATGTACAAATACACAGTTTACAAGATCACAAGGTTACTTTTTTGTTATTTTTTTTCACAACTGGAAAGTTACCATGGATCATTATTATCAAAATACTTTCAATGTTGCAAAAATATAGTGAAAAGTTTATTAAAAATAAACTGGGAAAAAAGGCTTAAAATTTCTTGAGGACTTGGAAATGATCCATAAAGCATCATATTTTTTATTACCCCAAAGTACGTAAGTAATAATAACTATGAAGGAGGAGAATCTAGGACTTTGATTAGATGAAAAGATATGTTTGTTATACACAAGTTACAAAATATTTCTGCTCAAACTCTTTCAAAAATGGTTCATACTGACATATCAGGACATGACCTAATAAAGAAATAAAAAGTGACTCTTAGCAGAAAGAGTCAAAATATGGAATTTTTGTTTTACCTAGGACAACCTACACGATTTAAATGAACTCAGCAAAATAACCAAATGTGCAAAGGGGCCAGAACTGATCACACAGCTTCATGGTCTTGCCACTTAGTGCTAACGACACCCATTAGGTTGAGTGGGCATCAGAGAAATGGGGCCACACATGCAAAGCAATGGCTACACCTTTATTCCCCAGGGTGAGGGCATCTACTTATCAAGGAGTTTCTCCAACAAGTAGGAAGGATACAAAAACAGAACCCTAAGTGGCCCCAAATCACCAACTTCTAGAGGACAGCAAGTGGAATTCCCTCACCCAAGGCAGAGATTTATTTTTACAACATCCTCACAAGAGGTATTTCAGTTTCTTTCCAAGGTTTCCTTGTACAGACATCTCAGTTTATCTTAAGACAGCTTGCATACTTTGAAGGGTCAGGATTGTTGGAAAGTCCCTCGAAGGCTAGACAAAACTCTGAAACCACTGAACTTCAACCCATGAATACTAATTTTGCCTTTTAAAGCAATTAACACTCTACTATTTATTCAATATAACCATTTTTCAAATATTTAAATACCAGTATTTGTGATAGCTTCCTTTTAGCATTCCCCATCTATATCCCCCAGCTCTCTGTTTCATTCATTCATTCATTCATTCATTCAATTCTTTCTTTCATTCACTCACTCAATAGATTTTATTTGAATAGCAGTCATGTGCTAGGATCTACCGCAGGTTCTAGGGATAGTGGTGAACAACAACTGCAGAAAGACGAAGTGCCACATTGCGTTTACACGCAATAAGGAATATGGATTGCATAACATACAGATATGAAATATCAGGTGGTGATACACGATGGGAAGGGAAATAAAGCAAAGCAAGGGTTAGTAGAGAAATGACCAGAGGATTCAGACAGAAATGTCAGGGAAGGACTCCGTAGTCAGATAACATTTGAATGGAGACCTAGCAGAAGTGAGGAAGAGTGTTCCAGGCAGAGGAAGAGAAGTGCGAGGGCCCTGAGGCTTGGGGGTGTTGGCAGCTTCAAGGGAGACCGTGACTGAAGCCAAGACGGGTAAGGGGAAGGGACTGGTAGGATGGGTGGGAGAGGTGATGCTGGCCCAAATCCTGTGGCTTCCTTACAGGCTGTGGAAGGAGTTCAGATCCTTTTTCCGAGCAAGACGGAAGCCCTTTACAGAAGGTCTGAACATAGGGGCTGGTGTAGTCTGACTCACGTCTTAACAGGCTCATTCTGTCTCCCAGGCTGAGAAAACACTGCTGGGTAGGGACAAGTCGTTGAGGCTAGAAGACCAATTAGGAGATTGGGTTTCAAACAAGAAATGGCTTGGAACTGGTGGTCGTGGTGGAGATGGTGACTAGTGGTTAGAATCTGGTGTTCTTCAAGGGAAGGGGCAGCAGATTTTGCTGTTCCCACGATATCTGGCCTGAGCAGCTACAAGGGTGGGAGTGTCATCTACTGAGACTGGGGAGGCTGGGGAAGAAGGTCTGGGAAGGGATATGCCTAGGAGACACCCAAGTGGAGCTGCAGTCTGGGGGCTCAGGGGAGAAGTCCAGGCTGGAGACAGGACTTCGGGAGTCATCACAGTGTAGATGGCACTTAAAACCAGGGGAATGAGCGAGGTCACCAATGGAGTGGCATAAGCAGAGAAGAGATCGGGGGACCGAATCTCATGTTTAGGCATTGGGAAGATGAGACGTAACCTACAGAGGAGACGAAGAAAGAGTGGCTGTAGGAGGACAACCTGGTGACAGGTGAAGAAGGTGTACCAAGGAGCCACTGAAATCACAAAGGCAACAGGCGCCAAACAGTTGACACTGAACTTCACAAAAGGATTTGGTGACTTGACATGTAGCTTTTTTTGAGAGAGAGAGAAAAGTGGTAGGGGAGAAAATCCATCTTAGCTTGGGTTCAACAGAGAATGAGAGACAACTCTTCTCCAGGGTTTTGTTATAAGAAATGGGGCGCTAGCTAACGAGTGAGGCCGAAGGGAGTTTTGCTGGCTTGCTCGTGTAAGGTGAGGGGTGCTGCAGCAGCTGTATCTTCATCAGAAATCATCCAGTATGGAGGGAAACTCGATGGTGTGGGAGGGACAGAAGGCATTTGTAGGACTGTGAGAAGAGGCTGGCGGTATGAGAAAAGAAGGCATTTCAGCTGCGAGGGTTGGCAAGTTTTCTGTAAAGGGCCAGAGTGTAACTAGTCTAGGCTCAGTGGGCCGCGTATGTGGTCTCGGGGCAACTCCGCAGTTCTGCAGTTTTAGGGCAAAAGCTGCGAGAGCAAGTGCGTGCCCGGAAGAGCACCGCTGCGTTCCAGGGATACTGGACTCACAGAAACAGGCAGCAGGCCGTGGCCTGTCACCTCCTGACCTGAGGGAAGAAGGGACTGAACGAGGACACAGTGGAACGAGGCTGCCAAACTTCACTAAGGGCCCACGTGACTTATCTTCAGACCCCTTCTAGGTCCCAGCCTTCCTCCTGAGGGTGCATTTTTGTCTGGCAGGGTTTTAAGAGAGCCCTAAACCTGAGATAATGCTAAATATGTGGGCCAATCTTGAAGACACTTTCGACATCAGGAGGAGAGAGTAAAGAAAATCAGCCGTGTTCAGTATCCTCCTGTAATTAAGAAGGCAAGGCAGCTCCTCAGAGAAATTTCTACACAAAAACGACTAACATTCTTTAAATGTTTTGACATTTAAAGGAATATGTTTCTGTCATCTGGAAAACGCACTTATGTTGACCATCTAGAATTTCTTCTCTCTCCATCCACATCATCCGCACAGTTGTCAATATCCGGTCCTGCCCGTGAAGAGGAGTTAATGTCCCTGCGACCTCAGGACCGGGCCCCTGGCTGACGGGTCAGCAGTGTGATGGATTAGTCCTCATCTCTCCACTCCCCAGGGCGGCACCTGTGGGGGGGGTCACAGTACAAAGGACACGTGGAGCTGGGACCAGGCTGGGGCGGACATGGGAGGAAGGCACCACAGAGCTGTCTAATTTGGGAAGTGGGGACCAGCCTGTCTCACCAGCACAGGCTCCAAAGACACTGGGCTAAACGCCCCTGGGCTCCCACTTGCAGAGTCTTTCCTTCTGCTGGCGGGTCCCATATACATTAAAACAAAACAAGACAAAAAACTGATAATATCATCATCAATAAAAGGGTGGGACTGTGTGAGGAAAATTTAAGAAGTTGACTTGAGTATTTTTTCGGTTCTGTGTAAGCATGAGTTTTTAAGGAACTCTAAACATTCTTTGTATCATATGCTTAAGATTCTAAAAACAGACTTTTCTTTCTGAAGAAAACAGGTTTTTATTAGAACCTGAGACTTGGCTCCACAAATTATGTATCTTAAACACAAAAGGCTTTTATTACTTTTTAAATGGGTTTCAGATTGACTTCATGATTTTGTGTTTATAATCGAATCTTCTAATTAAAAAAGGAATACTGCTGTCTTGATTTTCTAGTTTCTGCATGATTCCTAAGATGCGTTTTTCACACGGTAATCAATTCTAAGCACTCCCACATAACACATAACAAAAAAGGCTTTCTGGGAGGGTTATGACCCCTTCCTTATTCCCTGGAGAGCCTGGAGAACAGAGATGCCCACACATCCCACATCATTCTACAAGGCCGTCCTCTTTGGAGGCTCCACACTAAACCACATGCTTTCTGGGGATCCCTTTTAAAGCTCCATAACTTAGTGGTCCAATTCAAAAGCCCATGAATTTATAAATATTCTTCAGGAGCTTTTTTTATGGCAGAAGCAGCAAGATGACTAACAGCTCCTGATCTAGACTTTTACATTCCTGGACTGTTTCATTCACTGATGTCAAATTAATTATAAACAGTTTACCTAACACTGCTAGGCCAGAAAAAAAAATAAAAGATTAATGTGTGTCAGAAGAGTTATTTAAGAGCCTTACTTCAAGGTCTACTTTGAAAAAAAAACCTGTGCAATGTGTAATTAAAGCTATTCATATGATTTTCAGTATTCGAGAAATGTTATGAATGTAAATGAAAAGTCTGTTTCCTTTGTAAATGGAGTCATAAAAATGTTGGGCTCATTTTTCAGTGGCAAAGTGAAACCTGGACAGGATCCCCCCAGGAGAAGCTGTAGTGATAAATGAACAACC